GTCTTACAGCGATCGACAAAATTCTCAATTAACGAAAAACAGTTGTCTAGTAAGGCTGTGATACAGTAAAATACAGCAAATATAGGCGAAAATGTAGCATAAAAGCCATAAAATGGAAAACTAGGTGTATGTATTGAGGTATTCACTACCTTTCACTTGGTTTAGCTTTGGTAGCTAGAAAGAAATTTAGGACAGAACGTTTTATCTTGAGGTACTATCAATCTGTAAAATATATTATACTGGTGTTTTGATATATCTTTTATGAGCATTTTGTCGAGGCTTAGTCGATTAACACTGCTTGAATTTTGAAAAATTTTTATCCGCTATCCGGAATCAGTAAATCCAAAGTCTATATCCCTTGCTCGTTTTTATACCCCCGTTTAATTTCTGCGTCCCCTTTACGTTTGCACGGCCAAGTGAAATAAACACAATCCCCTCTTTTAACGCTTTTCTTTTAGAAAGTCTAATGCTTCAAGTATGCCTTGTTCGGAAAATAAAGGACTTGCTAATTTACAAGAGGGTGCACTGACACAAACTAGAAATTCTGTGGTACTGAAGACGACAGCCTCGATTGGATATTCCAAACAGAGGCGAGTGCAGAAAGACGACATTTTTGTGGATTTCGGTGCCTCAAAACTTTAAAGATATAAAGATACATATCCTTAAAGCATGGCTTGTCGGAGGTTGGATAGGAAGTTGGGGAAAGAACTGATACAGTCAGTAAATTCAGTGCTGTTTGATTGCGATGGTGAGTCTTTTGTTTTGATTTTACTTCCAGTCTGAACAGTCAAACCAAACTTTTCAGTCTGGTGTGGTAGTCAGGAACGACCAAAAGGCAAAGAGGGGCAGACTAGAATAAAAGGGCATTTGAAAAATAATTTCGGCTAATTTGAAAAATAACAGTGAAAAATAACTGCATTAGCGCCATAATTTCCAACTACCAACAATTCTTTCTCAACTATCATTTCATTTCGAACTTTTGTAGGTATCATGAAAATCGGTTAACTTTTGGCGTAAGTGAAGACATTGGTGTGAAAGTTTGAGAAATGTCTTCGTGAATAAGCCTTATTATTATAAGGAAGTACACTCAGAATTTATAATCTTTTGATGATTACAAACTGCCGATGTCAAGGGCACCTCTATAATAAGGGCACTTCCCTTCCTATCAAAAGGCAACAGGGGCAGTTGCCCCCCTGTGCATCCCTGTAAACATTTTTGACATGACTTTGTTGTATTGCTTAAAATACATTCTTCCTTCAAAATCAACTCCAAAACTGCCACCACCTTTTTTATTCTTTGTACTCTATAAACTTCCCAACTCTCATTTTCCTTTATGCTATTCAGAACATCATCAAGCTTCTCCAAGGTCACAACCAGGTTTTCCAAAACTGTGAAATAGAGCTTTTCAACATTTATCCAGATAGACATTCTTGGTTTATTTTTTGATAAACAAAAAACCTATGTTTGATAACCCTACTCAAAATGAGCTTTCACTTTTAAGAAATAAGGTTTTTAGCAAAACTTATCTCAAAAAATGCAACATAACTCAAAGAATTGTGCTGAATGAGACTGTGCTCGGTAGCAAGAAGATTAGCTGAGATTGGTGCAATTGAACACCAAAAGAAGAATGGTATTTCAACTGGAAGCTATGAATTATGAATTATGTTCAAAAGGGACTTAGCATCATAAGCATGTACATTTCAGCTTATATCATATCACTTATTCCAATATATATATTTCTTGTTCAATTTATGTACCCATTGAAAAAGCCTTTGGTAGAAGTGATGAACCAAGTTTATTTAAAATCAAGTTCAGTTTGATGGAGTTCAATTCAGGTTCAGGTTGAAAAGCATTTGAAAGCACAATATCTGCATTGAAATAGGTAGGGAACAATATTTCTTTGCTGAATTCACTGAAAAGCTACTTATGTCAGTTGATGAAGAAGGATTGGGTACAAGGGTTACACCTGCATCTTATTCTACCATTACGTTTTGCTAATCGGAGAACTTATCTCCAAAAGAAGTATATCAAACTGATTGGTGTGTGCAATGCTGGAAAAGCTAATTCTTGTTTGTTACATCAGCTATTGACTAACTGCCCTTATCGCTGCACACTCTTTTGGCGGAGGCTGAACTACTGTAAATCGTTTGGAAACCATTTGGAAATAGAAGATAAATTGATTGACAGAAAGTCTGAAATATCCTTCACATTTTTACCACTAATGTAAACAACAGTGTCGTCCACATATTTGAGAACCTGAGCATGCTGGTGGGATTGCACACCTTTCCCAGGAAGGCCTGAAAACTGGTATTTGGTTTTCAATTTTCCATATATATATATAGGATTTTGATGCAAGCAACAAATGTAAAATTGCTTTTATAATATCACCAACAGGAGGAAATGAAAAACATTCAGGGAACACCATTCTGTTTTGTTTCACTATAAGTGTTCTTTCAATTTTTAACCAGTAATATAGAAATACCCAATGTCATGCAGGATATTAAACAAACCTACCATTGGTGTCAAAAATGATCACATCATCTGTCTCTACTTCAAATCCAGGTTTGCCTATGCAAAAACATTAAAATGCAAATATATTATGCAACAGTGTAATGTCTTAAAAATATTAAACATTTTAAAACCATTTTACACGATGGCATAGAATAGAGGCAGATTCAAATATAGGCTCCAATATAGACCATACAATGAGTAAGCAAGGGTACATAAATCTAATGTAAGCTATTTTCATCTGAAATTGAAAATTTGCCAATGATCAGAGAAGTAACTATGCTGCAGTGTCGAGATATAATTTTCAATCCTCATAATGATTTTGTTCTAAGAAATCCATTCCTCCTTCTGTTACAAAA